CTCCAACACAAATAGTATTCGAATGGAGTGATCATGACGCATATCTATATGTGTACATATACATGTAATATGGATACATACGTGTAAGATAGGATATATACATACGAAATGTGTGGATATGTATTAGTTACGTAAAGAAAGAATTTTCTTCTTTTTGTTTATTTTCTTGAATTTTGATAATAGGGTATTTTATATATATATATACTTTTCATGCTTAAGTTGGTATTGCTTTTGTGTATAAAAAAAATCTTATAACATTAGGGTTTGGGAACTTGCCGTTGGAGCTACGCACTACTTCGTTTTCCAATTTAGCTTATCTGCTTGGTTCATGTGTAAAGCTTAAAAATCATGTGTAAAGCTTAAAAATCATGTGTAAAGCTTTTTAAATTTCTATGAATGGATATACAAAAATTAAAATCATGTGTAAAGCTTACAAAAATTACCTTGTTAATTTTTAAAGCTTATACATATACTGTATGACTGTTAATGTTTTAAAAATTTATATTAAGTTAAAATATTGGTGTTTTAAAAAGCTAATTAATAACATTTATATATGATTTAGTGATTGTTATAGCTCGGAAAAGCAGTCTTTGAGTCCCTCAAGTGTGTTTTGGGAGTGAGAAGTTGTAGATTGTTTACCCTCTCTAACAAACTGAAAAAGTTCACCATCTCACCCACAGCCAACCCTTCACGGAACTCTTGTCTTGTCTTGAGCAATGGGATGAAATGGGGACTTTGCGTTGCTGTTTTATAGACTTCCATTGATTCAAGCGCTTTCCAAATAGGTGAGCGTTTTGCAAACGGCAGAACCATTAATTGTTGTATCTTCTTCACTTGCTGGAGTTTCATCAACGCACGCAAAGGGAATATAATGAGAAAGTAAAAACAAAATGTTTCAAAANTCTTGTCTTGAGCAATGGGATGAAATGGGGACTTTGCGTTGCTGTTTTATAGACTTCCATTGATTCAAGCGCTTTCCAAATAGGTGAGCGTTTTGCAAACGGCAGAACCATTAATTGTTGTATCTTCTTCACTTGCTGGAGTTTCATCAACGCACGCAAAGGGAATATAATGAGAAAGTAAAAACAAAATGTTTCAAAAGGTACATCTAGAAAGCTAATGTAATGAAGCAATTATACACAAAAAGAAAAGAAGACGTATCTTACTCGATTTATCAGAACCATTAGATGGTTTTATTACTCCAAGGATCCAAGCAGAGAGGGTCTGATCATAATCATCGTGGTCACTTGTACCAGCGATCAGAGCCTCTGAACCATTGTAAATAGGCCTCAAGTATAAGTTACTCAAATATATGATTAGGGTTCGGTAAGAAACATAATACAACAACTAATACATATATACATGCCAATATATTTACATACCAGTTGTCTTTTCAAGGTTTGAGTTGCACGTTTGCTTTCGTTTCCTTTTCCTTTTATGACTACTTTCTTTGCTGTATTGCTGCTCAGACACATGCATTAATTTCACTGCCTATACATCAATATCCACATCAATCTACATGCACACATGAACACGATGAATCACTTAGTGATAATGGGTATAGAGAGCCTCAAATGCAAGACTACACATCTTCACTCACTTCTAAGTATGTTGGGCCACGAATGTAGTTACAGTCCACTGCTTTCCCTAGGAGACATGGGGTGCTTCCGACGCTTTGACTTACTACTAATTATTGAGCCTGCTGATAAACATGTTCAGGTTGCTGCAGAGAAAGGTTTATTCTCAATGGTGGTAAATGTTCCAGTAACTAATTGTAAACTAAATGACCCAGTGAGGGCAATCAGGGAAAGAAATATACTACTGTTATAAGGAGCGGCAAGAAGAAAAACAGAACCGGTCCGGCCTGACTTGACCGTAAATTCGATCCGGTTTACCAACAAAAATTCGAAATTGAAATTAAATGACCGAACCGATATTAGAAAATAGACTTTATCCAACTCGAAAACAGAACAGAGAAGATAACACACACACACACAAAAATCTGGATAGGATTTTGTTTCTTGGTTTCTCATGTCTGGTCTGATTCAATGGCTTCTTCACCATGTCCCATTAATCTATGCATCTCAGATATTCTTAACAGGTAATCTTCTTCTCTCTGTCTAGTGTACTACTCGTTTCTTCTTCTCTTTATGTCGACTGGTCATCATTGATCAAATAATAAGATAGTCTGGTCATCTTTCTATCGATTACGAGTAAAGAGAATGTAACAGTCAAAGTTCCCTAGTCACTTTTGGACCACCTCCTCTTAGGAAAACCAAGAAAGCTAAAAAAAATCCAAAACCCGACCAAAGGGAAGATAATGATCGTGAGAGAGGTGTGATAGTAACCAAAGAGAATGATAAGCAGGATGAGATTCACTCCCGCTCCTACTTCATTGGTCTCTTGTTTTTCCCTCTCTTTTACTACGTACCTCAAAGTGGGTTCCCTTTGTTGTTTCGTTCGTATTCTTTGGTACGGCTTTAGCTGGTGGGATCGTGTGTGTCGTCGAGAGAAGTTACCTTGTTATGCTGGAACGAAACTATAGAGAAAACTGGCCTTTCTTTTGGAAATACAATCCTTTTGGATCTCCTCAAGCAAGCAAGCAAGCAAGCAAGAGACAGAACAACTCAAACACAGCTCCTTTGATCTTTTCTCAAAACCAATACAAGAAGATACTTCAAGAGTATTATATATAATTTTTCCGTATGTACTCAACGATTCTACCAATCACCAATCACAGCTACACAAATAGTCCCCCGAGTACAACTTTATTGCAAACCACCAAGTTAATCATCACCCACCATCACACGACCAAAAAAGTATGAAAAGAAAATGACGACACAAACCAGAGTATAGAGTCAAATAATTCTAGAAAAAGTCTTGCCGTTTTTTTTTCCTAGAGTAGGCATTGGTAGTGGGTTGTGTTGGTCTAATGAACATGTCACGTGTTTCTCCTACACATCCGGCCTTAGCTACTGTTGCTGCATCACAGACACAGAGTGTCTTCGAGACACGGTTCCTCTGATGCTCCTCATGTTGGAGAGTTTATCAGCAGTTTCAGAGATACATCACGGTTCTTGTTACCTCCAATTTGAATGGAGTTGCTTTTATCACATGACAAAAAACACAACCATTGTACGTGTGTGTACTATAAGGGTTTAAAGGTTTTACTTACAAGGACTCTTTCTTCCGGGTGGTCTGTCTTTGATGGAACTTCTCGCCACTTCCAAAAGCAGCACTCGACTCTTGGAGAAGCATTGCTGTTGAGTGTCTTAGCTTTGGTAAGAGACACTTTTAACTTGTTGCTGCTGGAATGGAATGATCCCCTTGGTCCAACTAGAAATAAAGAAAGTATGAAATTTAGATATGTAATCATCATCTCAATAAAATGATATAATAATAATAATCCACATCCTGATATTGGCATCTACTCTCACACCCCAATTACAAAAGAGAAAGAACCAACAACAACAGTAAAGTCTGAGACTTTTTGTTTCCTGTAGCATAAAGCCTTACAGTTAATAATACTGATTTCAAGCCATAAATGCCAAGAAACCAAACGAGGGAAAGTTTGAAACTTGCAAAAACTTTCACAACTCAAAACTTATTACCAAATTACCTGTACCAGGAAGGAAAGCTAAGCCATCAGACAGAAGAAGCTGTGAGCCGTGTGAATATAAGAGGATGAGATGAGCAGTATAGATAAGAGGATGAAGTAAGCAGTGGAGATCATAGGAGTAAGAATATGGAGATGAGAAAGAAGTAGAATATGATCTAATAAGCGTCTGGAAGCTCGAGAGAAATCTTAACCATTAGATTAAAAATAATCAAGGGTGTAGATAGCATTCCTTTTGGCCAATAAGAAATAAGAAACAGTTACTTATTATTAGTATAATAAATAAACATGGAATTTGTTTTTTTTTTTTTTTTTTATTTCCAGGTGGTTTAATTGAAAAACATTTGTGCTTTTTTAAAGGGGCAATGAACTGATGATTATCGTTACTTTGTCTCTAATTGGGGATTAGATTACTAATGAAGTAAGGGGGGCGAGCTACCTGGCGTCTTTTAAATGGATCATTGTAAAATTTGGGAAACAAACCCTAGAAAACAGAAGGGGAAGCGGCAAGAGGGGAAAAATAGTGCAAAAGTTGAAGCTCAAGCCACCTCTAAACCTCACTGAAGAAGATGAAGCTTTGCTTGAAGAACTAAAAAGTAGTAACTCAATAGCCTGGAAGGGGAAGAAGCTCGAGAGAAATCTTAACCATTAGATTAAAAATAATCAAGGGTGTAGATAGCAATCCTTTTGGCCAATAAGAAATAAGAAACAGTTACTTATTATTATTAGTATAATAAATAAACATGGAATTTGTTTTTTTTTTTTCCAGGTGGTTTAATTGAAAAACATTTGTGCTTTTTTAAAGGGGGAATGAACTGATGATTATCGTTACTTTGTCTCTAATTGGGGATTAGATTACTAATGAAGTAAGGGGGCGAGCTACCTGGCGTCTTTTAAATGGATCATTGTAAAATTTGGGAAACAAACCTAGAAAACAAAAGGGGAAGCGGCTTCGACTCCTAAGACTAAGAAGATGCCGACGAAGAGGAGGAGGAAGAGGAACCCAGAGACTAAGAAGGAACAGCGCAAAAGGGGAAAAATAGTGCAAAAGTTGAAGCTCAAGTCACCTCTAAACCTCACTGAAGAAGATGAAGCTTTGCTTGAAGAACTAAAAAGTAGTAACTCAATACTCCCTCTGTTTCATAATAAGTGTCATTTTAGACTTCGGCACACGAATTAAGAAAACAATTAATTTTGTATATTTCTTATATAAAAATACAATTACCTATATACCTAATCATATTTTAACTAATAGAAAAATAGATTATAGAATAAAGTTAATAAATTTTGCATTGAAAATCGAGATCCACACTTATTTTGTAACGAAAATTTCTCTCTACAACGACACTTATTATGAAACGGAGGGAGTAGCTTGTATGGATTATGAAAACATAAGCTTTCCCTGTGATGGAGTCTTCGATATGATTCAGAGGAAGCTTCGTCTAAGAGGCTACACAGGCTTACTCGACCTTCATGTGTTTGTTGGTTATAGCGACAGTCCTGTGCCACAGAATGAAGATCCAGATCCATTGACTGAGGGAAGCTTCCACATCCATCGCCAGTTTGATTACCCTAGTAAGCTATTCTGTCTAATCCTCTCTCTTATGTTTATGTTTGATTGTTTGTTATTGTTGAATTATCTCTTATGTTTGGTTGCAGAACCTCCTGATACAAAATGTGATCAAGCTGCTGATGAGTGTCTTAAAAGGTTTATTGATGAATTACCTGTGGATAGACCTCCAGAGAACATGCTCATCATTAGCAATGACCATGGCTTCAGGCCTTGGCTTGATAGATTGAGAGCTAGAGGAGACATTGTACTTGTAGCTCATACTCAAACATCTGAAATTATCAGAGGTGGAGCACACATGGAGTGGAACTGGAAAATGAAGTTTATTCCTTTTCACAGTGTTCTTTATGAAGCAAACCAAGAAGATGAAGATGAAGATGAAGATGGCCAAGAAGAAGAAGAAGGACAACCTGGCCAAGAAGAATAAGAAGGAGAAGATGAGTAAGCGTAGGAACATCTTTGTATCTCTGTTATTTTGGAACATTGTCTTTTAGTTCTAAATGATCCTTGTTTATGACAGACAGTTAAGTCGTAGATAATAGGAGGCTAAAAGATGGTTTTTGCTAGTTGTCGTCAAGAACAAATACTAATGGAATCATTTTTAAAATTTACAGAACAAAAAACATCAAGAAACCAAAAAAGGAAGTCTTGTTAGTAAGTTGTGCTGAGTTACTGTAAGTACTCATGGCTGAGTTACTGTAAGTACTCATGGCGAAAGAGTTTGAAATTTGTTTTGTTACATGTGGTTAGTGTCGTATTAAAGGGATTGCCGGATTGGTGCGTGGTTAGTGGTCAATGGTTCATACAAATACTACTGTTGTGGTTAGCTCAGAACCTGTGGTCAATAGGGCCTGAGGTTTTGTAGTTAGAGGCTGAGGATTTGTGGTCAGGATTAGAGGGGCCGTGTAGAAAGTCTGAAGTTGTGTCGTCTGAGTAACTTTTGTTGATGTCGAATGACCTTTTGTGCAAACCAATATATTGCAAATCATAGTCCAAACCATAGAGACCCTTTAACGATCCTAACCATACCGATCGTCACAACCTTATAGTAACCACCAATTCACAAAATCAATCTTTGTCTAAATGGTTTTAGTTGACACTGAAAGTTGAAATGAGGAGGAGAGTGATAGATAGTTGAATTGGTGTCAACTTTAGTGATCACATAAATGTTATGGTATAGAATGAATCACATGTCAACTGAAGCAGATAAACTTTTTGAACATGAGAAGGAGAAAGAAAGGAAGAACATGAGAAGGAAGAAGAAAGGCTTGTGAATACACTTTCATTACAAGATATTATTTATACAAGTTTGTGAATACGCAATCATACAATCATTACAAAGGCCTTTACAATCATCTACACGTCATATGCAGTTGGTCATATGCATATATCTCATACGGTTGTCCTACTTTATCAACAATATATATCCGTGCATATAAATAAGCTGGTCACTGGTTGGTCAATTCCACAATTTCACATCAAAAACTGATCGTGCATTATTAAACTTTTCGACAGAATTTCATTTAATTCCATTACTCATTTTAAATGACAAACGTTGTAAGTTTTATGGAATTGGTTATGTATCCGATAAAAGAACCAACAAAAGGGAATAATCTGAATAACTTTTTGAAATATTACGAAATGATGGTTACTGTGTGAGTCTGAATTCAAGGAGAAGACTATAATATATGGACTCTGTACAATATGTCACGAGTCTTACTACATAAACCTTTCTTTCTTTTTCAAGCTTATCTGGTTTGATTGATCACATACCATTAGATTTGTTGTGCTTATGCCGCAGGCAGAGGCTCCTCCGGCGTGTTAGACTCTGATTCTTCGATACCGTAGTTCCATAGTTCTTTAAGCTCTCCTCTTACCAACCCTAGAATGACCGCCAAACCTAGAAAGAAACAAAACAACACATCAGGTTGTTGTTTGAAAGCCGTGGACAAGATCAGAGAAGAGGAAGAGAAACTTAAGCTTCTGGTATTACCGAGTGTGCATGGTACGATGTACAATAGCGCAGGCTGGCCATGTCCGTCCATTAGATACAGACCTAGATATGTCAGTAACAGACCTACACAATAGAACATGAAGAAACGTCTTGAATAGGAAATCAACTTATGTTATTTTCTTGTTCAGAAAGAAAACAAATGATGCTTCAGCTATGTTTACAGAGTGAAACTTACCAACTCCATAGCCAATAGTCAACCAAAGGAAGTATCCACTTGAGATAACTCTCTTTTTGATCTTGTCATATCTATGACCAACGAGAAGAGCAAGCACTGATGTCAGAAAGAATTGAACATAGTCATCTTTTAAGGCTCTAAGAATTGAAACTAGCTAAAAGTACCTGGAAGCAAAGGAAATGAGCAAACCGGGGAAGAGGATGTCCCCAAAACCAATCATGTCATAGCCACCCCAAGGATCGAAAAACCGAGGAATCCTTAGTAACATAGGAATGGACTCCCCGCTGCTGCTGTCTCCTTGAGCAACCTACAAAGAAGGGACCTCAAAAGTAAGAATCATATACTTCGTTCATAGAGTTGAGTTATAAAGTCAACAAATATATGTGCCAAAAAGAAAGGTTTAGAAACTCACCACAATCATTACACTCTCGTGGAATATCAATGGTGATATGAAGACCCAGAAGATGTCATAGACAAACGCGCAGCAAAGAAGTACAGTAGCAACCTGGAGTACACATAACTATCAGCATAAAACAGAGGATCACCATGTATCACTACGTAACAAACCAGATTAACTACCTTGATGTTAGGTAATCGAACCACTTGCAAGGCTGTGATCATCAAACAGATGCCCTGCCAACATTGTGAAAACGAATATTACAAAGAGAGAAATATAAAGCAACCAATAAGACACTGATAGGAATGGCTTCTAAAAGCATTCACTGCATGAAGAAAAGGGAGCTTTACCAAGATGTCCTGCCCAGCCCAAGCATACGATGTGTGCCGTTTTATGAACCAGAAGACAGCAAAGGACAGACAAAAGATATTCACCAAAAGTGACATCCATGACATTGTCCCAAATAAAGGGAGCTTCACAGATCTTCGACCAAGATATCGCCATTTTCTGCAAGAGGATCACAACATAAATATCCATCAATAGATGCTAACCAGAAAGAAAAAAAGAGAGAAGTGAGATACTTAGGAATAATTTCGAATACCTCAATAAAACTGCCGTAATGATGTTATGCATACCCTGAAAACAACAACCACACTTTGTTAAAATGATTGGAAATATCAAACATAGATTCAATCTCAATATTCTATACTTGTTACCTGCATGCCACCGATGCAGAAGAATATGGTGAGCACCCATACAAACCATGATGACATGAAGTAGAAGAGGACCAGCAGAAAAATGGAGGCTGTTACTATAAAAAACACAGCACCAGTGACACTTATATCAAGAATCTCCTTCTCTGGGTCATCTTTTCTGGCTCCAGCACCACTAAATTCCTGTAAATGAAATGAAATCATAGCACGTAAAAGAGATCAACAACAACAACTTTCTAGTATATTGACTTTTTCTTAACAAAAAGAAAAAAAGATGTAAAACCTTTGCTAGTATGCTGTAAGATTCATTAGCTTGATCAGGATCTGTCAGGTCTGACCACAGAGATGCAATGACAACAGTTCCAACAGCCATTAGCAACAACAATCCTGCTGTGAGGTCCACAGAAGGACGAGTTGGTGCATACAACAGAAGCTCAACTACAAGAGCAGATCAACAACTCAATAAGCCTAATTAATGGATGGGAGAGAAATCAAAAAAAAAAAAAAAAACTGAAGTGGGACATGACATCTCAAGGACAAGGGGCTCACTCACCACTCTTGTTCTCCACCATAGACCTGTTGAGCGCATCCCCGCTTGACTTAGAGATCATTAAGACAGGTATGCTCACATTTAAAGATCCGTCCTTTTCCATACATCCCATCTCATCAAGATCTGACAAAAAAACATCATCACACTTCCATTAGATGCTGCTCAAATCCGATATTCCAAAAGATAAAAAAAAACCTTCTTTGTCGTTAATAACAAGCAGAGCAGAAGCACCAGCTTCCTCAGCATGTTTAGCCTTCTCAGTAAAAGCACAGTTCCCACGGATCGACAAGGCAATACGTCCATCTAACTGAAACAGAGCAAAAAAAAAAAAAACAGAGCAAAACTACATAAATCTATTAAAGACATTGACTTTTGATAGAAAGGATTGCACTTTCGACTAACCCTGGAAGAGAGATTAGAACACGAGTCCAAAGGATGTACAAAAGCAACCGGAGATCTAACGCCATGATCAGCATCAGAAGGTAAAGATTCTCCGAATTGAGCAGTTAAACCGGTTAGGAAGTCATCACTTTCAACACCATCAATCCAGTTCAAGATCTTAACCTGTGTGTTAACACAAATCAAAACTCAGCAAAGAGTTGGAAGAAAGAATGATTCACAAGAAAAATGGAGTTTTTTTTTTTTTTTTTTCTTTACCATTTGGAACTTATTGGTACAGCCAGGAGTCTCGAGGTTTGAATCTTCGGTCCATGACACATCGTCTGCCGCCGCAACGGAGAATCCTAGCAGAAGGAGGAGGAGTACTATTGCGTAGTGACGCGGCGGATCAGATGATGACGACATGATGCAAACCGACGGACTGAATCGGGGAGAAAGAGGATAAAGAGTTGCGGTTTAATGCGTTTGGGATTTTTATATCGGAGGGAGACAGACGGACGGTCGATTATGTACTTGTCTTTTTTTTCCTTTTTAAGTTTTGTAATTATATATAATCTAATTATTATTAGTAGTTAATTAATTTAATTAAACTAAGGCCTAATTTTCTATTTAGATGCAAAATGTGACGGATTTGTGTTGTTGTTTTTGGTGCGTTACTTACCTCAATTATTTAGCAAACATTCATCAATTATTATGAAGGGGAAAACAATAATAATTTCCAGCTACTTGAAAAAAATGTTCTCACGATGTATATGACTTTGTCACTTCTCGGACCAATACCATTAGAACAGTTCAGCAGAAAATCATTGGGCAAGAAAAAATAAAAATTTATACATATTCGAGTTTAGTTACTAGTTACTACGATAAAATAAATAATTTTTCACGAAAAAAGAAAGTAAAAAGAGAAAAATAGTCCATACAAAAAGTAATAAAACAAAAACAAAAAAGCAGAGAAGTGAAGAGGAAACGCAATATATAAAGGAAAAATAAAAGAGAGAAAGTTTAAAAATAAATAAATAAAGAGCACAGATCCCTTCACAAGAAACTCCTCTCTTCAGACGTTTCTTCACACTCAAAATCTCAATCAAAAGCTCCTCTCTCTTTTTTCTCTTTTCCTTCTGCAAAACTGTTACTAATCTCTCCCAAAACTTTTTATTTTTTGGTCGGAGATTGAAACAACTGAGGAGATATGGCTGCACCTGCCATGAGGATCGTGTTCGGTCTATTGACATTTGTCACTGTCGGAATGATCATAGGTACTTTCTATTTATAGTCGACCATTGTCTGCATTTGGTTATTATTGTTGCCGAAACATTTGATCTTTCGATCTTTAAAGTTTAAATCATTTCCCCTCGGCCAAGTTTAAAGTGTTTGTTATTACCGTGATTTTTAGTTCGTGAAACTGACTTTATGAGAATTATGTAACGGCTTTTAAATAACTCATTGGAGATTGTGTTCTCTGAATCTGCAGGTGCCTTGTTACAATTGGCCTTTATTAATAGATTGGAAGATTCGTACGGTAACTCCCTCTTTCTTCCTACGCTTTTGTGCGTTTATGTGTTTAGTTTACTTGTAAGACGTCTGTACTGTTTGGAAATAGGTGCTTACATGTTATTTTCTTGTCTGAAGGTATTTGATTCTTGGCAGTGATGTTTTGTTATGTTATTGCTGAGATTTTAGCTGAGAAAATAAGGCTATGTGAATTTGATTCTTGGCAGAGATTTTTGTTCTGTTATTACTGAGATTTAGCTGAGACAATGTGAGCTATTTTGTAAGAGAGACTGAGAGAGAACAATGCAGTGGAAAAAACTAATTTGTTGTGTAATTTAGAACACTACTAAGTGATTTGTAGTCTATGCTTTAGTGGTGATGCTGTGTTGCTTCTTTTGTCGTGATTTCCTTCGGTTTTCTCAGTTACTTCTTGTTTCCAATTCAGGAACTGGATTTCCATCCATAAGAGGGCTTCGAGGACAGAGCGCCCGTTATCTTCGAGGTTGGTTGGTGTGATAATAATGATAATATCTAGCCAAAATGATTGAATGCATATAGGTTGACACATTAGGCTCCGTTTTTACTTATCTGATTCTAGCTTTAGGACCAGACTCTTCTTGTAGAGCTTAACTTGTAGACGTATTATGATTAATTTAATACAATGCTAGTCTACTATTTTCAGATGTTTCCCGGTGGGCAAATGACAAAGATGCAGAACTGTTACGTCTTGGCTATGTAATTCTATCATCATTTATTTCTCTTTCCCTCAAAATTTCGTTTTTACACTCTACGGTTTGAAAGAGATGGTAATATCGTGGTCCGTGCTGTTTGCTTCAGACTAATGAATGTTGATTTGCTTTAGTGCAGGTCAAGCCTGAAGTAGTTAGTTGGTCCCCTCGAATTATTGTGCTTCATAATTTTTTAAGCTCAGAGGTAATGTACACGCCCCCGTATATTAGTGTTTAGTTCATTGTGTTAAACATGGTGGGGATGAGTAAACTGATCACAGAAGATAACGTGAGTAAACTGATTACAGAAGATAACATGCCTTAACCTTTTTATCATGTTTATTATAGATAAGATTTGAAAGAGAAGCCAAACGTTAGACTGAGTTATTAATAGCATTATCTAAGAGTTAGCAAAAAAGATTTTATCCTCTTTGTCTTGTCTTTAAACAACTTTGGTTTTGCTGTTCTGATTATTATGATCGGCAGGAATGTGAATACTTAAAAGCAATCGCCCGGCCTCGCCTTCAGGTTTCCACTGTTGTTGATATAAAAACCGGAAAGGTATTTGTCAATACTGGACGTTAGTACAAATGCTATAGTTTATGCCTTGGAGACTTACTTTCCTCTTTCTTAGGGAGTTAAAAGTGATGTGCGGACAAGCTCTGGAATGTTTTTAACTCACGTAGAAAGAAGTTATCCAATAATACAGGTCGGTTCACTGACTCAGTGACTCTTCTAAGATTTTTAAAAAGGTGTGTCATTTCAGTGTCATCAACTTGACATTTCGCTATCAGGCAATTGAAAAGAGAATTGCAGTCTTCTCTCAAGTACCAGCGGAGAATGGAGAACTCATTCAAGTCCTAAGGTGCGTCCACATTTGCAACCTTTATTACTATTAAAATTTTAAGACAGATAAAGTTGTTTTCTTGATTTGATGAATCAAAACCTGTTGCAGTGCAGATACGAGCCAAACCAGTTTTACAGACCGCATCACGATTACTTTGCTGACACTGTAAGCCTTTGGTACTACTTTATATACCATAAGTTGATTGATGAAGGTCTTGCCCTTGGTCAATATCGTAAAAAGGGGATAGAACAGTGTGATAGTGTTTGGTTTGATCAACAATGCTTATTTGGATAGTTACTTAATCTTCTTCTTTATGATCTTAGAACAGTTAGTTTGAGGACTAGACTTTAAGTTTATCTTAGTCTGTTTGTTCATCATGAATTTTTGTATGTTTCCACACAGTTCAATTTGAAGCGTGGTGGTCAGCGCGTAGCAACCATGCTAATGTATTTAACTGATGACGTCGAAGGAGGAGAAACTTATTTCCCTTTGGTATACTTTCTTCACCTTATTGAGGATTCTCTTTGGCTCTGCAGATTTTTATATATCTTTAAAAAAGAAACAAATGTGTATAAATCTCTCTCTCTTTGAAATGCAGGCTGGTGACGGTGAATGCACTTGTGGTGGCAAAATAATGAAAGGCATCTCTGTGAAACCCACCAAAGGAGACGCAGTTCTCTTCTGGAGCATGGTCTGTTTCTTCAATCACACTCTCTCTCTGTCTCACTTTCTCTAAACTTCTCTGTTGTTCATTTGTGTCTTTGTGTTACTTAAGGGACTTGATGGAGAGTCAGATCCGAATAGCATACATGGAGGATGTGAAGTCCTCTCTGGAGAGAAATGGTCAGCTACTAAATGGATGAGACAAAAAGCTACTTCTTAAGGGACTTTAAACTTGTAAAACCTCAGGGACTTATATTGCAAATTTCATAGAATCTCAGAGTTTTGATATATTATATTTTTCACCCTTGAATTCTAAAAGCTATCATTTACATACCAAATTGATATGGGCTGAGTGTTTGCTTCTCACAATCTCATACACAACAACAAATCATTGGTTGATTAAGGATATGTCCAGTTTCCCACAACCATCTGTAAACGCAATTTTTGTGGTTAATACAAGGATTAACATTTTACAACAATCACAAAAAAAGCTAACCATTTATGAATTTCTAAAATTCAAAAACTAATTACAATTAGTTTACAGGAGAATAGAAAATATTTATTTTTTAAAAAAAAATTATATAAATATAAAAATAAATTATTCAACTAATATTTAAAGCTAAAATAATAAAATATCAAATATATATATCATATTTTAATTTATATTATAAAACTTTAAATACTCAAATATTTTCTATATTTGTTTAAAAATTAATAGTATATTTTTTATCAATATAATCTTCCTATTTATTAAAAAAAGTATGATTTAATATTTTAATAATTATATCTATAACATTATTTGACAAGTAAATTTGCTTAGTTGTCATGTTCTCCATAAGTTTAGGTATTTTTATTTGTTTATGGTATTTGTAATATTTATATATATTTTTTATTTATAAACAAAACAAATTTATATGAATATATCATGTTGTTATCTTGAAATATATTTTTATATAAAACTTAAATTTTAAATTAAGATATAAAAACTATTATATTTATCTAAAACGAATTTATATCAATAATTTAATATTTAAATATTACGAAAACGAATTTATATTAATAATTTAATATTACTAAAATAATATAATTATTATGTATTATGTTTTTATGTTGAAAATATATGTTCCTATTATAAAGCTTAAAACTAATATATAAAAAATATATTATTAATAATTAAAATATAAATCATAATTAAATATAAATCATCAAAACAATTATTTGAAAAGTGAATTTGTTGATTTGTCTCCATGATCCTAGGTAATTCTGATCATTTATCAGAATTTCTATAATTTTGTTTACTATTTATTATATAATTTAAAGTAATTTATATTAATAATATGATATTTTAGAAAATAAGTTAATTCTTATGTATTATGCTGTTATTTTGAAAATATATTATCTACTATAAAATTTAAAATTAACATGTAAAAAATCTATTTTATTATTTAAGAAGTGAATTTAATGTTTGCTGATTTGTCATATTTTTCATGATTTTAGGTAATTTTGATAATTTATCATAACTTATATAATTTTATATATAATTTATTATATATTGAAAATAAATTTATATTAATAGTATCAGATGATTTTCTTATTAAAAATTTAAAATTAAGATATAAAAAGTTGTACTTATTCTATAATTGAAATAAATTTATACTTATAATTATGTTGTTATCTTGAAAAAATATTTTCTATTATACAATTTAAAATTAAAATAGAAAATTTATCTATTATTAATTAAGTATAAATCATCACTCAAGAAAAATATTTAAGAAGTGAATTTGCTGATTCATTAATTCTCCATAATTTTAGATAATTTTAATTATATGTCATATTTTCTATAATCTTATATAATTATTCTATAATTAAAACACTTATCATCTTATACTTTTAGAAAATAAATAACTTGTGCATTATATTGTTATATTTAAAATATGTTTTTCTATTATAAAATTTAAATTTAAGATATAAATATTATAATTAAATATAAATCAAGAAAAATAATAATGAAATATATTCTTTTAAATATTTTTGATATTTGAGTTTTGTCATTGATAATTATTTGATTTTTGATTTTACTTTTTGAAAATATAAATAATAACTTATTATGCTGATTTTTAAATTAATGAAACATCAACTAATAAATATTCCTAAGAAAATTATGCCCGCAAGTGCGGGTAAAACACCTCGTAAAATGTAAAGCTTAAAACCACACAGGTCCCAAATAGCATAATCTGGGATTTTCCAAACGTCAAATAATATTCATGGTAGTGTTACAAAAATTAAAACCAAATAGCCCCATAACATTTGTCTCAAGTATTAAGAATGTTAATATATAGGGACATGTTAGTAAATATGCGAAAAATGAAAATACTGACTATATAAACTCCACTTGTAAACACATTTCTCTCATTGACCATTGTTGACTCATCTTCGGCCACACCAACAAACAAACCATGGCGGCGACTTCTCTTCGATCCGTAAACCCTAAATTCACCCAAACCCTAGCATCACCCCCCACCAAATCCCCTCCCTTCCAATCCCCCTTCCTCAGATTCAATCCCACCACCTTCACTCCCAAACCTCTCACCACCCGCTCAACCTTCGTAACCCGCTCCTCCGCCGCCGAACCGCAAGAGAGAAAAACCTTCCACGGCCTCTGCTACGTGGTCGGCGACAACATCGACACGGACCAAATCATCCCCGCCGAGTTCCTCACCCTCGTCCCCTCTAACCCCGACGAGTACCAGAAGCTCGGCTCCTACGCCTTAGTCGGCCTCCCTGCCTCCTACAAGGAGCGTTTCGTCGAGCCGGGGGAGATGAAGACGAAGTACTCCATCATCATCGGCGGGGAGAATTTCGGCTGCGGGTCGTCGCGTGAGCACGCGCCGGTGTGTCTTGGAGCCGCCGGGGCGAAGGTATTTGGTTAGAGTCCGGTTCAATTGTAAATGTAATTTAGTACTGGTTTAGATTCGGTACATAGTGCATAAAGTAAAACCTCTATAAATTAATAATATTAAGATTATACTAATTTTTTTTTATTAATTTATAAAGATATTAATTTATTGATACTAATCAAACCAAATGATTATAAAATTATACTAAGAAAATATTTAATTTTACATATTTTTCAAGATAAAAACACAATTACATGTACACCTAATCATTTTTCAACCAATAGAAAAATAGAATATCATATAAAATTAATAAATTTTGCTTCGAAATTCTAAAAGAACACTTATTTTGAAACGAAATTTTTTTCTCTAGAATGACAATTAATTCGAAACGGAAGGAGTATTATTTTATAGAGATATTTATAGAGATTCTACATTACATGTAAATGTAATTGTTGTAAAGTTAATGTGAATAACAGAATCATTTCCATTAACCGTTATTCTGTTTTTCTCGTAGGCTGTGGTGGCTCAGAGTTACGCGAGGATCTTTTTCAGGAACTCGGTGGCGACTGGAGAGATTTATCCGTTGGATTCGGAGGTTAGGGTTTGTGAGGAGTGTAAGACGGGGGATGTGGCGACGGTGGAGCTGAGGGAAGGGGATAGTGTTTTGATTAATCATACGACGGGGAAAGAGTATAAGTTGAAGGCTATTGGTGATGCTGGGCCTGTGATTGATGCTGGTGGGATCTTTGCTTATGCTAGGAAAGCTGGGATGATTCCTTCTGTTGCTGCTTGATTTTTCGGTGTCAGGTATGTATGTAGTGATGATGGAACCAAACTGCCTTAGCAATTTCTCTGTTATGTAATGATAAAGATTGTTACTTTATTGTGAATGGGATTGAATTGTAGAATAAATCTTGGAAGCTTGAGATGTTGATGATGCAAAGCATAGTTTTTTTACTCTTTTTTCTTGTTGAGATAATAATAACCTGGTAAAGATTTTGTGTAGTTAGATCTTTCTATGTGTTTGATATTATGTTTATGTAGTGATAGAAGTGTATGAAAGATAAAGATTGTTACTTTTTGGAATGGTGTCTTGGAAGCTTGACATAGTTTTTTTCTTCCTGGTGTCTTGTTGAGATAGTGACGTGTACTTAGGAGTAGTCAAGTACATAGTTGAGGTTGTGTGAGAATGATAATTACTGGTTTTAAACTTGATATCACTTATCAGGTGATTCATATTATGTAGTGATAGTAGTGTATGAATGATAATGATTGTTACTTTTTTGGAATGGTATTAGTTGTAGAGTAATCTTATAGTTTTTTTTTTTCCTTTTTCTTGTTGAGATAGTATTGTGTACTTAGAGCATCTACAATGTATGAAGGATAAAGATTGTTACTGTTTAGGAAGAGCCAAGTAGTTGATGTTATGTGAGGATGATAATGACTGGTTCTAGACTTGATATCATCACTTATCAGGTGTTTCAAGTTACGTTACCTCTTTTTTACTAAGTTGTTCAGTTAGATGCGAAAACATGAAAACTTTGGCTTGTTGTTGTCTCGGAGGATCTAGTGGACTTGTGTCTTTGGTTGATCTTTTTCATGTTTTAGAGACCTGAGTGTCTAATACTAAAAGAAGCACACCATTTTTGTTTTTTTTTTCTTTCTTTTTCTTCTAAGACTCTTCTCTATTTTTTGCAGGGCTGATGAGAGTTATCTTACCTCTTAAAAGGTATCTTCAAGGGTAAAGTAGTTCTCAGATTCCCATTTTCTGTTATTGTCGTCCAATAAAAAGAAGAATAAGTACATGTATGTTTCAAGAATTTGTGATATGCTTTATGGATATATATTATGACTGTCGGTTGATTCTTTTATTTCAGTTTATATATTAGCTATGTTTGTGTTATATAAGTTGTGAGTTTTTTTCTCATCTCTTAATCTTAGATCTAATCTTCCGGTCGTAAGAACAAGAGAATCGATAGGACCTTTGCTTTTCTTGCACCACCCACACTCCAGTTTTTCAATTGACCCTGGAAGTATAATCAGAATGTTTTACAAGATCTAATATAACACGTTGTCTTAGATTATATATACAAAAGCCAAAAACATGAAATGTAAAATCTTTTTTTTTGGCATTTATTTCTCACTGGGAAAGAAAAGAAGAAAGAACACCTTTCGTTTCACGACCTACCTGGTGTCTCAAAACGCACGTTTAGAATTCCCAAGTGGCACATCCGTAAATACCAGGGTACAAACATGTTTCCTTTTATAATCTCACTTCTCTTCTCTCTGTTACTCACTAAAAACACATACAAATGGCGTCTTCTCTTCCTACACTGCCCCGAGTCTTACCTTCCTCATCAAGCAAACCTTCTTCTCCCTTCGTTAAGTTCATATCTCCTACCCTCAAGACCACTACTTCCACTTCCCTCATCCCATCTTCTATCTCCCTCTCTTCACGTCGCACATCTTCCATCATCCCACGTGCCACTGCCTCCTCCTCCTCCGAAGTATCCAACTCTCTAGCCAAAACCACCTTCCACGGTCTCTGCTTCGTCTTGAAAGACAACATAGACACCGACCAGATCATCCCAGCAGACAAAGCCACCATCTTCCCTTCCAACCAACAAGAACGTGACGAGATCGGCTCCAACGCTCTCTCCGGTCTACCAGACTCCCACAAACCCCGCTTCGTTGAGCCAGGAGAGATCAAATCAAAATACTCCATCATCATCGCCGGTGAGAACTTCGGTTGCGGATCCTCACGTGAACATGCTCCTGTCTGTCTAGGAGCAGCTGGAGTTAAAGCTGTTGTTGCTCAGACTTACGCAAGAATCTTTTTCCGTAACTCGGTGGCTACTGGAGAGGTGTTTCCGCTTGAGTCAGAGGTTAGAGTCTGCGACGAGTGTACTACAGGAGACACGGTGACGATCGAGCTGAGAGATAGTGGTGGTTTGTTGAGTAACCACACGACCGGTAAGCAGTATAAGCTGAAGGCGATAGGTGATGCTGGACCGGTTATTGATGCGGGTGGTATCTTTGCTTATGCGAGGAAGATGGGGATGATCCCATCTCCATCAGTAGCTTAACTCTTTTCACATGTGTGTAAAGAGTTTTGTTCTCTTTCACTTAGTTGTTGTTGTTTATGTAATGAATAAGAAAACATGTTGCAAGAAAATGATTGACAAACAATGTGTTTCAATTGATCACATATTAGTTACCAATATGTGAAAAAGGGTTGTTTGTTTTTAAAATGATATAGTTATCCTTGTGTTTGTGTTATAACTTATTTTAGCTTGATAAATAAATCTGGCTGAATCAGTATTATTTCTGAACATAGCTATTTTTACAAAATCACTCTATGAGACTTATATAGTGGAATAT